TTTTTTTGAATGTCCAGAGGACCAGATTTAACTTTTTTAGATTTTTCTACCTGGATTATTGAGCATGCATCAGGATATTTAAGTAGGAAACTTAATTCTTCAACAATTAAGAGAACTCACATCAGCCTGCAGAGTTCAGCATTTTCATTTTTATAAAATTGTTAAAAATTATATATTTTTTCTTCCTTTACTTGAATCTGGTCTTTTCTTTTGTATTAAAATGTAAAAATATCAACAAATGTTATCAATATTACAACATTTTTTGTTTTATACTATCACCCCTACTGGCCAGTAAAGCCATCTCCAACAAACCTGTAGTGGCCACCAGTTGACAGTACACAGTTGTAGCAGGTTTTGTGGCTCCGAACATCATAATTAAGCAAAGTGGCAAAAATCTCTTTTTATTGCAAAGGTTGCAGACCCCTGGAGTTGACAAACCTCTGTGCTAAAGATATGTTCAGTGAAGCTAAAGATCTTACCATGTAAACTGTCAGGAATAGTTCCCTGCTTGTTTCCCGTTTCTTTTCCAACTCTAGAGTCTGGTTTAGGAAAGAAGCTTGGGTTGTTTTCTCTGACACCCAGGATGGTCTCCAGTGTCTCCGCCTGAAGCACAAACAAAAGAGTCACTCAAAAACAACATCTGTGCAGATGTTTTTAATTATCATGGCTTATTTGGGTGAGAAAAATAAATCTGAGCAGGATTTCTACCTCATCAGACGGCTCCAGCTTCACCTTGCTATCCATGCAGTGGGGGTCGGAGCTGGTGACTCCCTCCACCTGAGCTACCCTACTATCCCAATTCTCCAGCTTGGGCTTCACATCGCCTACATCTTTAGAGTCATCTTTGGTGAGGAGATAATGAAGGTGGGCGTGAGGTTTCTCTTTCTTGGGGCTGTTCTGCTCCTTCTTACATTCAGATCCCTTAGGCCCTCCGGAGGACACGGGCTCCGGAGGGCCTGAATCCAAGCTGCTTTTCCCGGTGGCCTCCGCTGTGATGCGAGCTACGTCATCAGGAGTGTTCCCGTTCTGCAGGAGCTTGTGGAGGATTTTGTGCTTCTCCTGCAGGGACTGGCTTGTTAAATGTCCAGAACTACCAGAAGATAACACAGCGCCGTGACTCCCACTTGTGGAAGAGGACACTCCGGTGGAGGAAGAGGAGGGACTGGTGACTCCAGCTGCTCCATCTTTAGCATCAGGTGTGGTAGGAGGCGCAGAGCTTGGTGTTTGGCTGGGTGGCACAATCTCATCTGTGGGGGATGTGAGGAGCTGCAGAAGCTTCCTGTTGCACTTGTCAGAGACCCGTTGGTTGAGTTCTGCCCCACCAAGGCATGCCTGGCTGTCTGGCTTGTCCATAGGGCCCTCGTTTGTGGGGGTCTGCGGGTGCTGCTGTGACGGCTGGTCTGTGGCAGCCCCCAGTGAGCTGCCAGGGCTCTTGCACTCGGAGTAAGGGGGTAGACCTGCTTTGCAGGGTCCCCCTGCTGGCTGATTGGTGGAGTTGATGCTTGGGGAGCTGTCAGGCTTGTGAGGAGGAGGAGATGTGAGAGGAGCAGGCATTGGATTCCCAACTCCTTCACTGATGGCTTGGAGGGCATTCAATGAGCTGCTGGAGAAAGTAGGTCCCCCTGCTCCACCTCCAGAGTGAGTGGAGCTCATGGGAGAGCTCATGCCTGCAAAACATAATTAACAGAGGAAAAAATGGTAAGCAATGCAATTTAAGTTCTACTAAACCTGCATTTTAAATACTTTGTAGTTCCTAAGTTTTGACTGTACCTCCTGGAGAGAATGGACTGGCTCCTGTCTTGGGGCTTCCTCGAACTCTTGGTGAACCCATGACATTGTGTGGAGGACCACTAATCCCCGGACTGGCTTGAGGAGGGCTGGTCATTCCCATCCCATACGCTCCGCTTCCTCCTCCATGAAACTGACCCATCTGCTGCTGCTGCTGCTGTTGGTGCATCCCATGATGGCCCATCTGATTCATGGATCCCATTTGGTTCATCGAGTTCATCGGATGCATGGGATTCATCTGATTCATCTGACCCATGTTGTTCATCTGGTGCATGGAGTTCATTTGATTCATCTGATGCATATGATTCATTTGGTTCATGGGATTCATGCGGCCGCCTCCAGAGAAAGGAGGCACACCTCTCTGCATCATGTTGCTTTGTTCAGCCATGCCATAACCCCTGTTCATGCTCATGCTGCCTCCTGGGCCCATGTTCATCTGTGGGTTGGGGTTGTTCACACCCAGGCTTTGGGGCCTCAGGGCACCACTCTGGTTTCCACGATAACTATTGTGCTCCCTTAACAAAACAACAAAAACGTTCAGCGTTATAATTATGTTAAACAGTTACTAACCTTTAATAAAACCACATTCTCATTTGTTATCAATAACAAATGTTCACCTTTGTAGTAAGTGTGTAGACAGGAAGGAGTGTGGCTCGTTTGTGTTGGGATTCCTACAGAGGTCAGTCTTCGTCTGGGCTGTGATCGGAGTGCCGTCAGAGAGGGAGAAGCGGTAGAGTGGCGTCTCTGCATGGCCAGTATGGAAAGCTGGAACAGAAAAAAATGTAATAGATAATAGTCATACCTGCAACTAAAAGCTAATGTACAAACCAATGTTTTATTTAAAATATGGTCAGAACTGAGCATATGAGTCCACTACAATATTTAAAATTAGACAATCCAATTTTGTCTGCACACATAAAAAAATCATGTACAGCTGAGCAAGATCCTGGGTGGCAGGTCAAATGAACTGTTGTTCATCAAACCTGTGGGTGCAGGCTCTCATATAAACAAAGCCACAGAGCTGATGTTGATCAATACTGAACAAATTAAGGAGTGGAACAGTGTGAAAGAACATGATGCAACATTTTTAAATTTTCCCAGGGGACACACATCTTCCTCCTTATCCTAGTTTTTCACTATAAATCAATATTAACACTGGTTTGTTCCAGAGCAGCGACAAAGATTATATTTGTATGAAGAATCAACAATGTGTTTACTGCTTTACCACAACAAATCAGACAGTTTATGTTACTATTGTTCCAGTTTGTTACAGACAGTTGTGCTTAATGAACTCTGAGTTTGGTAGAGATTTCTGTTTAGCTTAAAGCTTTGCTGATTAGAATGCTACTTATCTGCAAAAAACAGTGAGTAAAACCCTAATTTGAAGCTGTTTATTTTTTATCTTGCAAGTTATATTTACCAAACCAAAGAAAGAAAAACATATCGCGTGCAAGATCTGATGTCTGATCAAATCCAATTATTGGTGTACAGTGGTCCCTCGCTACTTTGTGGTTCATATATCATCGACTCGCTCTATCGCGGTTTTTCATAGTAAGACTGGACATGACTCACAACTGGCTGATTGATGGATGAGCCACACGATCGGCATGGAATTTTTATTTAAAATAAATTATTTAAAATTATTTAGCACCTCCTGAACCTTTGTGCAGCACACACTGCAGGATACGTTTCCTGCTGCAGCTGATCAGCTGTTCTCCGTCAAGAGCGAAGTGGGCGTGGCCAAAATGGCTTGCGGGTGGCTGAGAGCAGCCGGAGGCAGGGAGCTGAAATCATGACTTTCTGTGCTCTTTTAGAGCGTTTACAGTTTAGAAACATTGTTTAAAATATTGCAAGAGTGTGGGAAGGGTTTAAAACACCTGTATATATATATATATATATATATATATATATATGGTAAATGGACTGTACTTATATAGCGCCTTTCTGTCTTATTTCAAGATACTCAAAGCGCTTTACACTACAATCTGTGTCCTCATTTACCCATTCATACAGCACTCTACATCTCTACAAAGCTAATTGAACAAATAATTCTAGAGACTAATCAGTGCTTTTAGATCACATTTATACACTGATGAGACACACATCAGAGGCTATGAGGGGTTCAATGTCTTGCCCAGGGACAATTCGGCATGTGACTGCTGGTGGATTCGAACGCCCAACTCTCGCATTGGAGGATGACTGCTCTAACCATTCAACCACAGCCGCCCCTATATATATATATATATATAAATATATATATATACATTTATATATACTAAAACAAACTACTACTTAACACTTGTAATACTTTGCGGTTTTTCACTTATCGCGAGTCTTCAGGGTACAGATCCACTGTGATGAACGAGGGACTGCTGTAACCTTTAATTTTAGTAGTAATAATAATAATAACACCATCGTCTGTGAATTATATTTTGTTTAAACTCCGGGACTATTATTTAGTTTGAAGCATTTAGTTTAAAAGCAAAAACACAAATGAAGCTGCAGTGCAGGTCTGTTGACATTAGGTAACACACGGCCTCTTGAGTAACTGATAGTAAGAAGAAGGTTTTTGTCTGAGAACTACACACCATCTTGATAGTGGCGTTTGAATGGCCATGACTGTCCATCACTTCTATTGAGGACCAACAAGCAGCGTCTGACCAAGTCCTCCCATCCTGGAAGCATGGTGGTGTGAAGAGAGCTCTGATGCTCAATTTCAATCAGTTTACCTGCAACAGAAGAAGTATAATTAATGCCACACAAAGGATGAGAGAACTTTGAGACTGGTGTAATATTCCTAATGCATCCTGACACGGCTCAACACGACGTCATACAAATTATTTGTTTAAGCATGAAAAACAAAAATGCCACCTGAAATGTATTTTCCAGATACAGATATTCTTTATTTGTCATTCACACCACATGTGGTACATGTAGTGGAGTGAAATTATGTACACAGGGTCCCAGTTACATTCAACAATAAAATGTAAAACAGTAATAAGATCTAAGATATGAACTAAGAAAAACATCAACTACAAAAATACACTAAGCACTAATAGCATAAAAACATTTTAAAGCACAAGTTTGACTAAGACATCTTCAAATGCTTGCAAACATTTCAGAATGAGATGCACAACTTTAGGTTTGTTGGGCAAAGAAAAACATTTACGGTAGATAATTTTCATGTGACAGTATAAATGAAATATCTTTAGTAAGATTTTTTTTGAGACTGCCCTTGGAAGTCTTGACTGTGCAGCACTGCTGAATAAAGAGTTGTAGCACCACAAAACACCGATCAAAGCTAAACCTCCCTGATGACCATTTTAAGTTATAAATGTGTTATTTTATGGGGGTTTTTTCCAGTCGATCTACAGATTACCTAAACATTTATTTTGACTTCCCAAGCTCACCATTACTTCCACAGTGCTTAGTGATGACATTTTACAGGATTATCCTTACTTTTTCAAACCCTCCCTGTGGTGTAAGTCATCCTCAGCTGTCATATCCTCTGTTGTTAAAATGAGCCATCAGATCTCATAACACAAACAGAAGTGTCAGAAAATTCATCAATGCTGCGAGCTGTCATAAGCTGTCTCACATGTCCTCACGCTTTGAATACAGTAAAAGTTCATATATTTTAGGTGCCCCAATTTTAAAGCCTTTAAATTATGAAGCATTTACCAAGATAATTATTTTCATCCATCCATCCATTATCTTCTGCTTATCCGGGGTCGGGTCGCAGGGGTAGCAGCCTAAGTAGGGAGGCCCAGACTTCCCTCTCCCCAGCCACTTGGTCCAGCTCTTCCGGGGGAATCCTGAGGCGTTCCCAGGCCAGCCGAGAAACATAGTCCCTCCAGCGTGTCCTGGGTCTTCCTCTGGGTCTCCTCCCGGTGGGATGTGTCCGGAACACCTCACCAGGGAGGCGTCCAGGAGGCATCTTAAACAGATGCCCGAGCCACCTCAACTGGCTCCTCTCGACGTGGAGAAGCAGTGGTTCTACTCTGAGTCCCTCCCGGATGATCGAGCTTCTCACCCTGTCTCTAAGGGAGAGCCCAAACACCCTGCCGAGAAAACTCATTTTGGCCGCTTGTATCCGAGATCTCGTTCTTTCGGTCACAACCCAAAGCTCATGGCGGGCATTTACCCATGGAGCTCGGCCAGGTACAGCCCGAAGAGGAGATGTGGGTCCCCCTTCCCATGGACTCACCAACTGTGGGAGGGGCCAAAGGGGTCAGGTGCAATGTGGGATGGGTGGTGGCCGAGGGCGGGGACCCTGGCTGTCTGATCCTTGGCTACAGAAGCTGGCTATTGGGACGTGGAATGTCACCTCACTGGTGGGGAAGGAGCCTGAGCTGGTGTGTGAGGTTGAGAGGTTCCGGCTAGAAATAGTCAGACTCACCTATACGCATGGCTCTGGCTCTGGCTCTAGTTTTTTTGTAATAATTTTCAAATTACAAAAAATCTATGAAACTTGCCCTGAGGCGCTTCAGTTTTTATGCAACTGAAGTTTAACACAACACGAGGTGATGCCTACCTGTGAGCTCATGACGAGTGCTGAACCGCTCCATCCTCTCTCCTGCAGTGATGCGTCGTGCCACACAGATCATACATGACTGTAAATCTGAATAAATAACACAATGTTAATATTTTGTATTCGGTGCGATTTGGAAAATGTAAGCCCACTACTTTGAGAAAAACATAGCAACGGTTAAAATTACTTTAAAAACAAAAAAACAAAAGTACATGTACATCCATGTACAAATACACTTAAAGCTAGGAACAGTAACTTTTACCGTCTCCCTCCTCCATCATGGCTCGGGGCTGGGTGAGGGCGAAACACTGCATGGTCTCATAGCGCCGGCCTCCCGGTCTTTCTTCAGACAACCCGTGACTTTGACCATGAACAAGGTTCACCAGCATACGACAGTTGAAGGTGTGGCTTTTCTGTCGGGGCACGTCTCCCCCCCACGGTGCCCCGTTTCGTGCTTTAAAGAAAATTAAAGACAAAGTGAACATAACCTCGACGGATCAGGGACGTAAGGTAATAACTGTTAGGTGTCTAACCATTAGACTTGGGCAGATTCTTGTGGAACTCTTCTCGGTCTTCCTCGTGGATAATATTGTATACGATGGTGTTGATGAGCTCCTCCTGCTTGTACTGTAGATACTGCGTCACGTTGTCTGACACGAACACAATGCTGCCCTCCCGATTCACCACAAACAGAAAGCCATCCAGTGCCTACAAACAACAACAAACAGTTGAACTGGGTGGAAACCTTTAAATATAAGATTTGAGATACAACACAATTGCCACTCAGAGTTAGTTAAAAGACATATTTATCAACATGTAGAGCAAGAAGAGTGAGGCAGCAGCTGGGTCTGTTGCCTCAGAGTGATCGTTGCTGACCTGTAGGAGCAGCGGCCCCAGATGGTCCTTGTCAATGACCCCTTGACCAGTGGAAGACACATCTGCCTTCTGCACATCGTCATCATTGCAAGAGTTCTTTCCTGAAAATATTAAGCACAATGCACTATTATTAGAGTTATAATTGTGCAAGTTTGCATTTGAACAATCTCACCCCCCCACATATTTCCAATACAAAACAGATTTTAATTATTTAACTCAACAAGTCAGAGTCAGAGTCAGAGTCAGAGTTTCTTTATTGTCATTCGCACCTCATGTGGTACATGTGGTGGAGCGAAATTATGTACACAGGGTCCCAGTTACATCCAACAATAAAATGTATAAGAAAAACAGTAATAACATCTAAGATATGAACTAAGAAAAACATCAACTAAATATACACTAAGCACTCATAACATAAAACATTGAACATCAGCACAAACATGAACATGAGTCTGTGAGCAGATGTGCACGCATGAACACATCAACATTGAAACAGATCAGCAGCAACATGAAACAGATCAGCAGCAACATGATATGGTTTTTCACAGTGATTATTCTAGTTAGAGATTCATGAGTCTAACAGCCTCAGGGTAGAAGCTGTTCCTCAGTCTAGTGGTTCTACACTTAATGCTCCTTAACCTCCTTCCTGAGGGGAGTGGGGCAAAAAGTGTGTGTGCTGGGTGGGTGGGGTCCTTCATGATGCAGGTGGCCCTCTTCCTGCATCTGGAGGTGTAGATGTCTGTGATGGTGGGGAGACTGACTCCAACAGATTTCTGTGCAGCCTTCACCACTCTCTGCAAAGCTTTTCTTTCTGCAGCTGTGCAGCCTCCATGCCACACGTTGATGCTGGAGCACAGGATGCTCTCCACTGCACACCTGTAGAAGGAGGTGAGGACTGAGCTTCCCAGACCAGCTCGCCTCAGCCGTCTGAGGAAGTAGAGTCTCTGATGAGCTTTCTTGATCAGGCTGGTGGTGTTGTTGCTCCAGCTGAGGTTGTCATTCATGTGTACACCCAAGTACTTGTAGCTGGAGACGACTTCCACCGCAGATCCTCTTATGTTCAGGGGGGTGTAGGTGTTTTTGTTCCTTCTGAAGTCCACAATCATCTCCTTTGTCTTCTTCACATTGATGTGAAGGTTATTCTCTCTGCACCAGCTCTCCAGGTGTTCCACCTCCTGCCTGTAGCTGGACTCATCATTGTTTGTGATGCATCCCACCACCGCTGTATCATCTGCAAACTTTACAATGTGACAGCCTGGATGGGTAGCTGCACAATCATATGTGAGCAGAGTAAACAGGAGGGGGCTCAACACACATCCCTGAGGAGAGCCAGTGCTGAGGGTTATGGTGGAGGAGGAGAGGTTGTGGATCCTCACTAACTGTGGTCTGTTTGTTAAAAAGTCTAGTACCCAGTTGCAAATGGAGGGGCTTAGTCCTAGTGTGGATAGTTTGTCCATCAGGGTTTGGGGGATCATGGTGTTGAAGGCGGATGTGAAGTCCACAAAGAGCATACGGACGTAAGAGTTTTTCTGCTCCAGGTGGTTGAGTGCAGTGTGGACCACAGAGGAGATTGCATCCTCTGTTGATCGGTTCTCACGGTATGCGTACTGATGAGGGTCCTCGTTGATGTTGATGGTTGTTTTGATGTGAGTCATGATCAGTTTTTCGAAGCATTTAGCGACTATCGGGGTGAGGGCCACTGGCCGATAGTCATTCAGACCAGTCACTGTAGAGCTTTTTGGGACTGGGATGATGGTGGCAGTCTTCAGGCAGGTGGGAACTGTCTCCAGGGTAAGTGAGGTGTTAAAGATGTCTGCCAGCACCTCACAGAGCTGATCAGCACATTCCTTCAACACTTTTCCGGGGATGTTGTCTGGGCCAGTTGCCTTGTGCGGATTAATCCTCCTGAAGGTACTCCTTACTTCTGCTGAGGTCACGCTGAGATGCTCTTCATCCGGTGGTGAGGTGAGTCTGGTGCTGGGTGGTCTGTTCGGGTCTTCAAAGCGTGCATAGAACTTGTTGAGGGCATCAGGCAGAGATGGGTCTTTGGGACATTGTTCACTCCTTCCTTTATAATCTGTTATGCACTTAATGCCCCTCCACATGCTCCGAGGGTCTTGTGAGATGAATTGACCCTCGATCCTCTTTGCATATGTGGCCTTGGCCCTCTTAATACCAGCAACCAGCTCTTTTCTTGTCCTACTCAGCTCCTCTGAGTTTCCAGACCTGAAGGCAGTGTTCCTGGCTTCCAGCAGGGTACGCACCTCTGCATTCAGCCAAGGTTTTCTGTTTGGGTAGCTTTTAACATATCTGATAGTGGAGACTGTGTCAGTACATGTACTAATGTAACCCAGTACTGAGGATGTGTATTGGTCAAGATCAAGCGAACCTCCATTTTCAGCAGCTTCTCTGAAAACCTGCCAGTCTGTTCGATCAAAACAATCTCTCAGTATGGGGCCACTGTCCTGGATCCAACATTTAACTTTCTTTTGTACCGGTCTGGAGCGTCTCAGCGGGGGCATGTAAGCAGGAGCCAGGAAGATTGAGATGTGGTCTGACAGTCCTAGGTGGGGGCGGGGTTCGGCTTTGTATGCATCTTTTACGTTCGTGTAAACACGGTCCAGCGTGCGGTCTCCACGTGTTGGAATCGTCACATGCTGATAAAAGCTTGGGAGACAGTCCTTTAGATTCACGTGGTTAAAGTCTCCGGCTACAACGTAAAGAGCCTCGGGGTGTTTGTTCTGCAGCGAGCTGATGATATCATGTAGCTCCTGTAGTGATTCATTAGCATTAGCGTCCGGAGGAATGTAAACAACTGTGATAAAAGTCACTGTGAACTCGCGGGGTAGATAATGTGGCCGACATTTCACTGTTATTTGCTCCAAAGCCTTCGAGCATGAGCTATTTACAACAGTACAGTTCGTGGACCAACTTTTACTCACGTAAATGCACACTCCGCCCCCCCGTGATTTCCCCGTTAGCTCGCTGCAGCGGTCCGCTCGAAAAAAAAGTCTGTCATCCAGCTGGAAGACTGAGTCCGGCGTTTCACTTGTAATCCACGTTTCTGTGAGGCAAAGCACTGCACACTTCTTCATCTCTTCTGAGGCGCCCGCTCTCAGACGAAGTAAATCCACCTTGTTGTCCAACGAGCGGACATTCGACAGAAAGAGAGACGGCATGGGGAGTTTACCGGCTTTAGCGTTAGCTCGTAGCCTCACCATAACCCCCGCCCGGCATCCTCTCCTCTTAAGCCGGGAGCAGCGCTTCCTCTTCTGCCCGCTGGAACGCCTCTGCTGCAGCTTCCAGGTAGATGACTTTAAGATCTGCATTCTGCCGAGCGTAGCTTTGAGTTTGTTGCTGATTTCTGCTATATTTCGTGGCAAATCCGCTCCTATTCTCATCAGTTCGGTTCGGCTATAGTTCACACGCATAAATCGCGCAGAGTCAGGCACAGAGTCAATATCAAAACTTCTAAAAACTGGGATGGTACCGGGAGCCTGTGAAGCTGCAACTGCTCTGAGCGCGGCCATCTTGGCGTAGTACAGTCAACTTCAGAATTCTTAGATGACAGATTTTTAAAATTTATTAAAATGTGTATTTTTTTGTATTTTCTTTTGGTAATTATTTAAAATAAGTCGTGCTTCTCTTGCCTCCCAAGCTCTTACAGTTTAAATACTTGAACAGGCCACCAGATGGAAGCACAAGTGCTGGCTGCATGTCTGGCATGCCTTTCTATTTTAAAACCATCATATGTCTGAGGCTTTGATAGATACCACTCAATATAGAAGGGTCATCTGCAGAGCGAGGCTCTCCACAAGATGAGGAGCAGAACAACACATTTCAAAACAAGGCCTGTTTAAGCAAGCAGAGATGAGGAGGCTGATAAAATAAGAGCACACAAAACAAACTAAGCAAGAGTATGTCAAAGACACAAACTTCATCATCCTCAACCTGTAACTATGGTAACCTGGCTGCAAAACACAACGAGCCTCTGAGTAGATCCCAATAAGGTCGCTGTATTAGCTTCATTAGCCTCTAATCTTAAACAAGGCTTAAAAACAGGTAAACAAATACATCTGCTTTTATGCTTTTAATTAATTTAAACCCTCACAACGATAGATGAATGACCCAGGGACGTGAGCAACACTCAAGTCTGATGTTTGAGCCTCCCGAGTCGTTAGCCTCTCAGAGAGAAGCAGAGTTTGGCCCTAACAGACGCAGACTGTCACCAACAGCCTCGAGCCATGACCACCAACGATTGGTTTCAATTACTGGTGTTCATTTACTCCAGGCAATAGAAAGAGCCAAACTGGCTGTTGCTCTGAAACATCCTGGCCATCAACCAAACACTCCACTTCATCACTGGCATCGTCTGTCCCAAAGCAGGGTACTTGATGAATCCAACTTAATTGGCTGTTTACCTCTCCAACAAAATACAAAAATTAAAAGAAAAGAAGAATAAAATGCAAGTTGAACAGTTTGTATGTGGATTTCTTCTCCTGACCAGGGCTGTATGTGTGTGACTTGTCAGAGGAGATACCTTGCTCCTTGATTTGTCTGATCTGCCTCACAGTCTCCTTGAGAATAGCACATTTGTCAGGCTTGACGTTGAAGCTGTCAATGTTAGAGAGGTTAGCAGAGATGAGCTCAGCCAGTTCCTCGATGTACTTGCTCTCCTGCTCCCTCCGACGCTTGTCACACCTGCCGGGGAGCCAAAGGGGATTAGACATGTTGCCATGACGACATTCCTTCCCATGCACCATCCGTCCGTATAGAAAGCATTCAGAGAGTAGCAAATGCAATGACGTTTACATAAAGGGTTAGGGAAAGAGTAACCACAAAGTACAGTTATAGAGACCTGGACTGAAGGTACCAGCACACGGAGTCAATCAATAATATTAGCACTCACCCCAAACCTGGCGTGTCACAGGTGGAGAGTTTACGTTTGCGATCAGAGCTCAGTGGCCCTAACAAATTGTCTCCTACGCCACTCATCTTCAGCACGTATCAGCACCTGACGGTAAGCACAGCCGCATATGTAACACAATCACACTGAGGGTGATGTTATATGTGTGTTTAACTGTGGCAGAGTTTAATCAAGGTATATGTGTGGATTAAAGTATTCTTACATACAATTTTTTTCTGACAAATTCACTCAGAAATGTATGGCTATAAATCAAATTACTTTCATGTGAACAACACACTGTAGATTTCTACAGCCCTACAAAGCCAGACTATGCATCTAGTAAAGCAGCCTCTCTTTTCCTTCCTTGTTTGATGAGAGTGAAATCGCATCTGTTCCACTGCAAGGAGGGACTGATGATGATGTAGTGATCTGAAGCCTCGGGGGAGATGGGTCATCCTGCGTTCAGCCAGCCTACCCGCTTGAACGTAGCCATTCTTTCAGCAGCAGCAGCACACAAACACACACTGCTTATACAAACCGCTTCCAGGGGGCTTACATGCTCAGGCATGTTGCAGCACAATCTGCGTGAAAAAGAATGCTAGGAGCTGCTGTCCCACCAAGCAGGCTCTCTTTGGCCCTGTACACACGTAGCCTGGTGTTTGAAAAAACGAATATCCGCGCAAAAAAATATCGCCGTACATACATGTTCGGATAGAGAAAATGATCGTCTACATGAACCCGGTGATGTTCACCACAGAGCGTTGTAAAGAATATGCCCAACCCATAGGAGGCAGTGTAGTGCAAAGGTGAAACGTATATCAGCAAATCACAACCCTTCAAAGCAACCACAACTTCCTGTTAGTATTGAATCATGGCGCCTGGAGGTTCGTTTGTGTGGACAGACCGCGAGGTTGAACTACTATTAAATACCGTGTTGGAGTACAAAGTTAATAAAACTCAGGAAAATGTCGACTGGGAATCCTGTCAGAACAAGTATGTTGATATTTTAGCGGTTTTTTTAGAGCATTACCCAACGGGGTCCTCCGACGAGTTTCCCCATTCACATGCCGACATCACGCGCGGGAATTTAACAACAAAAATGAAAGCAGTCCGAGGTAAATATCGCCATGCTGTTGATACAGGACGCAGGAGTGGACACGGTCGAGTGGTTCTTCTGTACTTCGAACTGTGCGAACAAATCTGGGGTGGCTCTCCAGCTAGTACTACCATATCCTCCGGTATTGAAACAGCTGACCTGGATCATTCTTGGACCCTACCCTCACCATCCACATCTTCTTCCTCCACTACCATGGATGTAGCAGACACAGGGTCTGATAATGAAAGCAGTGTGGGTCCTACTTCAAAGGAGAGGAGAGACCTGCTTGATGTACGTATATTTTTCTGTCCATTCCTCATAAATAAAAGTACTTTTGCTGTAAATGTTCATCTGTTGGATGTACTATAATTCACGGAACAGGTTTGTTGAATTGTGTTGCTATTAAAAATACAGTTAAGGCAATATGTGTGTTAAAAATTATGCAAGAGTTGAGGTGTGTAGTGGAGGCTGGAATGTGATGTTTTTTATATTTTACTGTGTACGGGTTGCTGATTTATTTTTATTATTATTGCAAAAAAGAAATGACACCATCATGCTCTTACTCATCTCATATTATGTTAGGCCTACATATTCATTAGTTTGATGGGGTGGTGGGTACAAAATACACTTTAAGACATATAGCAAACATTGGATACGCTGTTATTACATATTGTTATGTAGAAGTGATGTGAAAAGTACAACATCAACATGATCCAGGTTTACTTTTTTATGTTTAATTGTGATGATTTTCATTTCTCTTTTGAAGGCAAAACTAAAAGGACACAGACACGACCGTCTGAGGAGAAAGCTGCCTGCTGAGACCCAGTGGCTGAATGCTCTTGAGGAAGACCAGCGTGTGAAAAAGAGACTGGTGGAAATCATTGAGACATCAGAACAAAAAGCATCCGAAAACTATTCAAAAATGTCCAATACACTGGAAAGACTTACCACATCGATTGTTGATGGGTTTTCTCTTCTGAAACAGGTCATTCATGCACCTGCACAACCACCACAGTACATGCCATATGAGCCAAGAGGTCCGATGTATTCGCACACAATGGCCCACCATTCTGTCCACCAAAACTCAGCAAATTACCCATACCCAAACAACTCCACTTCTGACAGAACACGTCAAAACACAAGACCAGGAAACACTATGAACACTGAAGCTGTGTTCCACACACCTGCTGAAGCCACTGACCAATTTTCATTCAGTCAGGCCCTTTTTAATGACCAGTAGAGTACTGTTTTATACATCGAAACAAGTCTGGTACAGTTAAGTATATACAAGTTCCACTTTTGCACAAGGTTGCACACATGTCAGGTTGTTAATCACAGTGTTATTTACTCTGACAGTGTTTTTTTTCTGTTTGCTATCTTTTTATACATACTGTGAAAAGCTTAAAATGTAGCAATTGCACAATACTTTAACTATTTACATTTTTGTTACGTGAATCTTTATAAGAGTGGTGATCTAGTCCAGTCCTTGGGAGCTACTGCTACTTAGATGTATTTCTCCAAAACACCACTATCAAATACATACTGATGATTGAAATCAGCTATTTCATACTGGTTTGTTGAAGAAAATGCAGCTGAAATGTACCTGTGGTAGCTCCCAAGTTATGGACTTGGGCATCACTGATTTAAAAGTGTACAGTAACTGTGCTGCTTTTCTCCCATGTTTAAAAAGCTTTATCTGTTGTAGATCTGTTATAATCTGATCTGTTCATAAATGAAACACAAAATAAGAACATGTTAAGTGTGTTCGTTTGAATAAATTGACAAACATTTTAAAAGCAAGTTTCTTTATGTGAATTTTTGTGAATATGACATTTATCAGTTACAAATACAGTCATGTTCATCAGAAAGTATTGGCAGCACTATTTAATACACTACAGGTCCAATTTTAAGAGAGAAAAGTAAAATCATTTCACTTAAAAGTCTGTCTAATGAGCTACAAACTATTATATAATGTATCTAAATCCTGGGTGGTAGCTTTTCATGCATTAATAGAATGAAATGCAATAACATTGCACAAAACAATTTAAAAATTCTCTAACATACATGGTGCTAACTATAACGTTTTTTTATGAAAAAACAACGCAGTCTGCTAAATAGTTCACAGGTTTTTGTGTTTATGGATCCAGACACTGAGTGAGGACTCTCCTGACCCGCTTTCCTTCTGCTGCCAAGCTGTCTCCTCTGACCACTGGCTGTGTGTCCGGTTGATTGTTCCTGTCATGTTGAATAGCTTCAGTTATTCTGTTTTCATCCACAGTGTCTTTTGATGCCTCACAAAAATTGTGCAACACAAAACATGCATATATAACAAATGGAAGATCGTTCATATTGATGTCCATGGCTCTCCTCAGGGCTCCAAATCGGGCTTTTAGTCTTCCAAATGCACATTCAATCACCATTCTAGCTCGGCACAACGAAAGTCCAAAGTACTGCTCCTGAACATTGCTTCCTCCGTTAGCATATTCTTTCATCAGGTAAGGTAGAAGTGGGTATGCAGGGTCACCCAGTATGTAAATGGGTATAGCGTCTTCGTTCTCCACAATTTGTCTTGGACAGGGGGGAATCTTCATGTTTTTCAGATTTGTGTTTATTGTGGAGTTAGCAAAAACTCTGGCATCATGCACACTCCCTGGCCATTTCACAACTACATCAATAAAGCTGTACTTGTAATCACAGGTGGCTTGTATGTTAAGAGAAAACCTCCCCTTCCTATTTAGGTACTCTGTAGAATTAGCTGATGGCTGCTTTATCTCCACATGAGTCCCATCCACAGCTCCAAGGCACTGAGGGAGACCATAAGCCTGCTCAAATCCCTCAACAAGTGCACGCACAGCAGTCTCTGTTGTTGGCATTTTTATGTAAGATGGTCCCAAGTACACAGTTATAGCCTTACACACCTCTCTAATTATGTTTGAGACTACTTGTCTTGATAAGCCAAATGCATTGGCCGTTTTACGCAGTCTTCCCTCGTCAGCCAAATAATATAGCGTGCATGCAACTTTTTTGACCACACAGACTGGAGATCGCATTACAGTACTCTTCCCTTGAATGTAAGGAAGGAGTAACTCCGAGAGCGACAGTAATGACGACCGTGACATTCTGAAGTTCTCACGCCATTCCTGTGGGAGAACAATTTCCTTCTCAAAGTTTTCCCACCAGCCAGCAGTGCGTCCAGGTCTGATCCAAAACCGGCGACGGCGACGCTGAATGGCGGTATTGTGCCTCCGTATCGGTAGGGATAGTTGCTGTAAAAGAGCTGAACGCCAAACGCTTTTTCTCCTTTGTAATTCCATCTGTTGGAGCAGTTGTGCTTGTAAAAACAAGCAAGCAAAAATTGCCTGAACCAGCGTTACAATTAGTACTTCCCTAAACGCAGTCATTTTCCCTCCGAATGAATGGGCAAACAAAAACAATTGTCGCACATGTGACGTCAGCGCCGCGCTGCACCATCTGTCGCAGACATAATGCGCATATCTCCGGTTCCGAAAGTCCACACGCAAACCCGAAAGAGGAGATTTCTCAAATCTCCACTTTGGTCGGAGTTTTTGTTATTATTCGTTTATAGTTACATCAACCGGAGTTCACGTGTGGATGAAAGGCCACACCGCATGATAAACTATTCGGTTTTCCTGATATCCGGCTACGTGTGTACAGGGCCTTTGTTGATCTCCTTAGGGCTGCAGGAGCAAAGAATACACGCAAGCTTGGACAGCTGCAAAATTATCCCAGCAAGCTTCCTGGTGTGCACCAATAACAGGCAAGAATCCTGCCACATTCTCTTTACTCTGCAGGCTCCATACATGGTTACATCTGTTCTTTCTCCCAATAAATTACCTATTTTACTCATAATGTCTTCAGACTACTCCTCCCCTTTATCAATCCCTCCTTCCTGACTTGAATGTAGCATCACTGAGCTGCTCGTTTTCTTGCTCTTGCACTGCCCTGTGTCTGATCCCTCAGAGTTCACAACAGAGGAAACCCTGTAGCCAGTTTCTAAGGTCACTGCTCTTTCCTATTCCCACCCAGAGAAGTGCACAAAGCTGCAGCATGAGGCTACACAACCAGATTGTTCAACTACTGCCTCATCCTGGACTTTTATGTCAACAGTGTGTGCACACAAAACGCTCAGAATGAGCTCATTCCAATGTGGAAAACTGTAGAATGGACGGGAGCCATTATGCAACTCATGCTCTGCAAATACAGGCTAGGACATGAAGCAGCGCGGTCGTTTAACATTGCTGCAAATACAAGAACATCAGCTCTCAGACATGCTCTCTAAGCTGTAAATCTGCAACGCATGCTTCTTGTCCGTCTACCTTTCAGCACCCTTCTCTCTAAATCTGCTTGTCGTGCTCTGGACATGACTCTCGCTGACCTCCCAATTCTCTTTCTTTCTCCCTGCATTCTGTCCGAAGGCTCACCTCTGCAGCAGTAGAGAAAAATGACATCAGCCCTCAGACACACTCACATCCTGAAACACACAGCAAAGCTCTGGCTGCTAGAAGCATTTCTGAGAACATTTTTTGGGTAGCTCTATGATTAGTTATAAATAAAAGAAATATTGCCTCCTTTAATAATAATTTTTGTCACGGTTATTTTGAACTGTTACAAAGCAATTCAGGTGTCATTGAATTTAAAAAGTGGCAACTCACAAGTTGTTGTGGCTTAGAAGTTCACACATGGGGCTTGCCTGCTGATATTGAACAACTACTAAAAGTTTGACGCTACTGCAGTTTGAAAACAGACGGCACGTGCAGGAAAACAGTGAGAAGCAGCCACTGAAACCACAGCTGAGTCTCTATACGTTGGACAGAATGCACGGACCAGAATCAGTTTCACCTGACGGTGTGAAACGTGCGATGCCGTCACACAAACATCAAGGAAACTTACAGCAGCGGCATGCCATGGTTTAAAACAAATATCGCCTGAATCCTTCATGAATCGCTCATCCGTGGTGAAAATAAAGATGTGTGTTTTAATTTGAATATTTAAATATGAAACGCTGCTCACCTTAGCCAGTACAAGCCACAGTCAAACTCCATTCAGGGCCTACGGCACGTCTCAGAGTCGTAACATCTCCTGAGAGCAGAAAGAAAAAAAACAGGGTCATGAACTGCAGTTCTCTGTAAATGTCTGGATGCCTCAACATATCTGCCTCCTATGAAAATAGCTTTAGCTCGTTATATATTTATCCTTTCTAAGATTCATGGGAAAAAGACTTTTCTAAAATTGCACAGGAAGTCAGAGCAGATAGCATCCTGTTTGCGTTTTCCCCTCGGCCTGTTCCACAGCGTCATCACTTCCCTTTCCTGGAAATGTGACCTCCCATCCGCACAATTTACATATTCTCTTTATCGGACTGGTTCCCTGTCACCCCAGGTCTTATCTTATATTATTTGCTACCGGTGAATGGGAGTTATTTGAAATGAACACACAAGCAAACAAACCAGGACATAGTTTCCATAAAATGTTACAAACTTAGGCTAAAATACATTTCATAAATGCAAATGTAAAATTTAAGGCCATTACTAAATATGGTAAACAAGAAGCATATCACCTTTTCTATATTGCTCATTTCAAATAAACGTAAACCTAAAGTCTGGTGACCATTCTATGAAACTAGTTCAATGAGTTGAAAATATCTCCTGTGTTTTTAGATGCAGATTCATGTGATTTTATTTTGTCCTTTGTTCAATCAGGAAAGTCTCCTTGAGATAAAGTATCTCTTCTTCTAGAGACTGCTGGTGTGTGTGATATGTGACGGGTAAAGCAGGGATTGAACCGCCAACCTTCAGTTTGGCAATCATCTGCTCATTTAAGTCACAGCCACTGCAGAAAAGTGACTTTGTAAAGCTGGTTCTCTTACTGGGTCTTTCAAAGTTTTAATACAACTACAGAGAAAACCCAAAGTCTTCAAGAGCACAAATTTCTCCCTGAACACACAATGATCCCACTGGGTCAGATAGGCTCAGATGATATTGTTATCATGTTATTTTAAAAGTTATTATACAGATCCCTCAGAATACAGCTACAATAATGTCACTTCAGGTTAAGTTGAAAATGAACCAACAAACGACTGATTTATAGGTGTCATATCCATTCAGGATTAGCCTCAATATTCAAGTAATTGACAATCATCAGAGTCATGTGGTGTTTGAGTTATGAAACTGTGCATGGGTGAGTGAGAAATCCCACATCACAGACCACTGATCACATCAGCCCTAAACACAGCGCTGCAACTGAGCTAATGCTGCAGTTGAATAATTTAAACACTGAGACAGAAAAGAAAGCACCTCCACCATCTCTCTCGTTCCATCCAGAGACTATTTGGCAACAGTTATAATCAACGTGTATAGTTCCTTCAGTGGTTTATGTGTTTGCTGTTTACAGGCGTGCACATAAAAACGTAGCACACGAGCATTAGAAGCCTCTGGATGTGAAAAGTAATTCAGAGCAGGAGGTATAAACACCATGTGATTATGCAGCAAGGAGGAGTCGAGCAGGCTGAGCAGAATTATAGAAAAAGACGAGGGAGGAAGGAGGACAGGTAGGGGGAGGGGCAGAGAAAGGCGACGCTGCATCGAGCTTAGCGCTGAGTAGAATTAGGGACACATTTTGATGGTGAAACAGCAAACGCTTGTCTTGATGGGGTGTAAAGTTATTATACGTAAATGTGCCCTCTGAATAGAATATAAAAATGTTTTGATCTCTGAGTGACACTTCCATAATGCTTTTAGGAACAAATAATATCACTTTTAAAAATTATATTCACAAATTTGAATATATATTCAAATTACACACACATATTAAAAATAATGCACATTCAGTGCTGACAGAGCAGCTGGTTAATTTTCCTAAAGCATTAACTAAACGGTAATTTAGAAGTGGTGTCTGGATGACAGTGTACCTCATCTACACTATTTTTACAATTTCCTCAACACTGTCAGCAGTACAAGTAATCGCAACTCAAGTTTTATAAATTAACCCAGTTCTTTGTGCGTATGGTTAAGGATTTGTCCCGTCATCACAAGGCAGTCTATTTGTAAATGTGCATTTCTTTCAAAATGTCTGCTATTATTTTTTTAAAGTTCTGACAGTAAAAGTCATTCATATTTGATGCTTAGCTGCTCCAAGGTTTCATGGATCAAAAAGTAGTTCAGACCTATAGTACTTTTCAGATATCTTATAAGTATGGATCTAATTTACCAACTTTGTTATAAACTGCAGTCATCTGTACATAATTGATTTTATATGAACTGCGTTAACTTCTACTTAAACCAAAAGCTTCTTTTGAACCAGTGGAACTGTTTATAACACAAGGCCTTTCACAAAACACTTCAGCAATGTAGTTGCAAAGATAGGCTGTTCATAAGAGCACCAGTCAACAATGTGGTACATAATAAATGTATGTGTCAGACTTTAAAATGTAAGTCCTGAAGATAGCTGGAAGTCAGCTCTTATTTCTTCACACCATCAATCCATGATACCAGTTCATCTTTACACATATAGACTGTGTCCACCTCCCTTTACAGCTCAGAGGCGTAACATCGATGGGCTGACTGCACAACCCCCCTCCCCCACCCCCCCACCCCAACCACCCCAATGCCGCCTTGGCCCTGACCTTACATAAATCACATGAAGACAGCAAAAAGGCGTCTCAGGGCTGACTTGAAAGTGCTTTGTAAGGGGCTGGTGTCTACCGTGACTGATTAAAAATGACAAAAGTGTAATAAGATTACTTGAGTGGAAAAGTACACCAAAATATGCCACCACAAGAAAGCAAGACAAAAAACAACAACAAATCCAGCATTAGTGAAAAGTCCAAGTCTTGTCTCCTCTGTAAAAAGAAGCATTTTTATTGTTAGCCTCTATAAGCTAATAACAACATAGAGAAATGGGGCTAAGGAAAAGCATGGGAATTATTCAACCTAAATGTTTTTATGTCCTTTCAGGATAAAAACTAAAAAGATATTGGAAATGTCAGTCCAAATATAGTTTAATGCGCTGTGCAATTTGTGATTGTAAAATAAAGTAGGTTTCTCAGATGCTACTGATTTCTTTTGTTTTCTGTGTACGTCCACCCACCCCCCAGCCTACTGAGACTTGTGACTCATAGAGCACCTAAATATGTTTTACGTAAACGTCTAAAGGCAGCAATAATTTACTTTCACTGCATTAGATAAAGCAGCATGGTGGCACAGTTGGTAGAGCTGCTGCCTCTCAGCAAACAGGTTGCCCCGGTTCAAATCCCGGTCCGAGGGCCTTTCTGGGTGGAGTTTGCATGTTCTCTCCGTGCATAAGTGGGTTTTCTCCGGGTACTCCAGTTTCCTCCCACAGACAAAAAAAAACATGCATGTTAGACTGATCGGTAACTCTAAATTGTCCCTAGGTGTGAGTGAGAGAGTGAATGGTTGTTTGTCTCGTTTGTCTCTATGTGTCCCTGTGACGGACTGGAGACCTGTCCAGGGTGTCCCCTGCCTCTCGCACAGTTACTGCTGGATACGGGCACCAGTGACCCCCCGCGAACCGAAAAGGAAGAAGCAAGTAAAGATAATGGATGGATGGATGCATTAGATAAGTTGGTTACTCCAACTTTGAAAAAAAAAATTTGGTATACATTTAATCTAATCAAATTGTGTACGTTCTTCAGAAGTATAGTTTTTGTTAGACAATAATTAGAAGTTTTTGCTTCATGTAAATGTAGTCACTGAATAGAAAATTAAACAGACCTAATGTTTGTTTGCTACATTAGAAGATTTCTTATACAGAAGTGAAAACGATAAAATGGCTTGAATGATTCATGGGTCATTTTACCAATCACTAAAGACAAACTGCACTAACACAGAAATCTATTTGACTCGTGAAGCTACACATAAAAGCCAATCTCACTTGTAAATTGTTAAATTAATGAGTTTCCTTTAAAGAGGTTCTCATGCCATTGTCTCAGAAACTTCATAAAGAGTAATACATATTTAGACACCTAAATTTTTGGTTAGATAAACAAATAGATTGCATTAGATATTAATTCATTTGATTTGAAGCCAGACACAGTTTAAGTGAGTTAGAACCAGAATAGCAAGTAGGGACATTTCTGGATACCCTAACCTACATGGTTGTACCTTCTCCAGAAGGTATAGTTCATTAAGGAAAAACAGGAAGTCATTCTGTTTGCCAGCTTTTGCACTTGTTGTTCCAGACTCCAGTTGAACCCCTTATCACCCTGAATGGATTGTATTTGTGCACATACTCAGTATAGTAAAATATCTCTGCTAAATTATTCTGATAACCTAGAAATAAAAATGTATTTATCTTGGTCTGAAAACGTATAGCATAAACAAATGTCTTTAAAAAAAATTCCATTTGCCTTAAATGTGCTTTTTAAGACGTTATCATTGTGCTCCACAGTGTCTGATCTTTGTTTTTGGTGGACCAGTGTTTGTCAGTCCAACCAGTCATTGTCTTGGGGAGCTCAGATTGTAGGCTCTGGCCTGGCACTAACATGTACGCAGGGTGATCGGACCACAACATATAGGTGTGATCGCACTCAGCACGGACTGAGAATAACTTCAGATCTAGTTGCTCAGACCACATTCAGAGGTGGTCCTCGACACATTTATCTACATTTCCTCTGAACACGCATCAATTCTGGGCCAAATGGTAACACCACATACTGATTGGACATGGATCCACAAAGCTACCAGAAAGTTATTACCTGATGCTTTTTGCGTTCAATCTAAGCAAAACTCACATTAAAAGCAAAATCATAATCAGGCAGAGCAGTCGGCTGAAATAAAATTATGTTATTTTGTAGGAATATCCATCCATCCATCCATCCATCCATTATCTTTACCCGCTTATTCCATTTTGGGTCACGGGGGTCGCTGGTGCCCATGTCCAGCAATCACTGTGCGAGGGGCGGGGTACACCCTGGACGGGTCGCAAGTCCATCACAGGGCCACATAGAGACAAACGAGACAAACAACCATTCACTCTCTCACTCACACCTAGGGACAATTTAGAGTTACCAATCAGCCTAACATGTATGTTTTTGGTCTGTGGGAGGAAACTGGAGTACCCGGA